TCTCTCTCTCTCTCTCTCTCTCTCTCTCTCTCTCTCTCTCTCTCTCTGTGAGTGTGTGTGTATGTGTGCGTGTGTGTGTGTGTGTGGTTTTACCAGTGTAATATGGCAGCCTAAATAGCTGATTGGACATTGGACTTCCTTAAGAGGGGTGTAGCTTCTAGGAACAGGGAGGAGTAATCGAGCTGTATTCTGTTCTCATCAGACCTCATCTGGTGGATTAGGTACAGTTCTACTCACCATGGTTTAAGAAGGAAATGGATAACCTGGGGATTGTCCAGAAGAGGGCAATCAGTAACAAGAAGTAGGTGAATTTGTCTAGAATATGGTGTCTAGAATATGGTGGGGGCTTATATGTGACAAGCCTCAAAAGACAGATTAAAGCCAAACTGTGAAGGACTTTACAGGCCAAAGAAAATAGTTTGTATTTTATCTTAGAGGCAATAGAAAATCATTTAAATTTCTTGAAGAGGGAAGTGACATGGTCAGATAGGAGCTTTAAGAATGTCTGTGAGGAGGATGGACTATTAGAAGGGAGACAATGGGGGCCACAGAACCAATTAGAAGGCCATTGCCATTGTGGGGAGCAGAGGTGATGAGGACCTGAAATAGGGAGGCTCTGGTGGAAGTGGAGAGGAGATGGTTTCTAGAGATTTTATGGAAATAGAATCAGCAAGACTTGGCCACTGACTGGATGGGGAAAGGCTTTGAATTCATGTTACATGAGGATCTACTAGAGAAACTGAGCAGGTTTAGCCTGGAGAAGACTCAAGGGGAACGTGACGAGTGTCTCCAAGTCAGTTGTCATGAGGAAGAGGGATTCTGCTTGACCCCAGAAGGCAGAACAAGGAGTAAGAGGCGGAAGTTACAAAGAGGTCAGTTTTGGCTTGATCTCAGGAAAAAAATTCTTAATAATGAGACCTGTCTGAAAGTGGAATGGGCTACTCTGGGATGTAATGTCTTCCCCCTACATGGAGGTCTTCAAGCCAAAGATGGGTGATGGCCATTTGTTAGGTATGTTATAGTATGGACTTCTTTCCTATATGAATTGGACAAGATGAGTGCTGAGGTCTTTTCCAATTTTCTATCCCTGGGATTCTGTGATCCATTCCTTCCTCCTCCCCTCTCCCACCAAGCCAGACTTTGCTCCTTCTGAAACCCTCATTTCTATGATTGAGTAGCACTATTTGTGTTTTGGTACCTATCTGACTCACCCTGTCCGTAGGTCAGACTGGCCAGTCTAGTTACATCATTCCCAGAGAGTGTGACCTTTCCTCCCCCATCCCCAACACCACAGTGACTACAAGATGCAATAGTGTAAGAGGATGTAGGACAATTCAGGGTTGATAGAGGAAAGGTGAATTTGGAGCAATATAGGGTGGGCTTATAATGAAATAGATAAGAAGAGAAGAGAAGAAAGATAGTAGGGATAAAATATATATGGAGAATCTAAGAGGGCAGAGAATGGAGGAGCAGAATCAAGAAAAGGAGAATAAAGGGAATGAAAGTGGAAAGGATTGGGGGACAGAGAAGAGATAGAAAGGACAAGGGATGGGGGAAGAGATGAAGAGAGTGAGATATGGAGAGGACAAAGTCACAAAGGGTAAAGGGAGAAGGATGATGAGTATGGGAACATGGTAATAGAGAGGGTGGGAAAGGACAGGAAGAACGGGGAAAGCAAGAAGGGTCAAGGTGAAAAGTATGACAACAGAACAAAGAGGATTGGGAGAGAGAAGGGATTGGAGGAAGATGGAAGAGAATGAATGGGCAGAAAAAGGCAGAAGGACGAAGAAACGGAGACGACGAGTCAAATGAGAAGGTATGGTTATTTGGTAGGATGGGACAGGACATACTCACGTTGTAGAAGATGAGCAAGCCGTTGAAGAAAGAAGTGGAGTAAAATAAAAATTTCCAACTGAAAATACAGAACGGGGTAGAGATGAATATATGAAGTCATATTGCTGGGGGTGGGAGGAAGTGGGTGAAGAGATGAACAAATGGGGCCCCTGCTTTCCAAATCAGTCCTGGTTCCATAGCCCACTGACCCAAGTCTAGGTACCTTGGAGTCAGTCTTCCATCAGGTCCCCCCAGCTCACCAGGCTTCGGAGAATTTCTTGCTCAGTAATGGTCTCTCCTGAGTTCTGCGGCGTCGAAACCAGCGCTCAGCTTGCCTCACAGAGAGGCTACACTGGCTGGCCAGGTGACTCAGCTCATCCTGGGGACAGCAGGAGATTAGGGTTAAGGCAGACAAAATGATCTTAGCTTCAGGTGACTGTCTATTCCCCTAAGGTTATGACGTTAGTCTTCCTAATCAGAGAGTGCCCAACAGCACAGCAGGGGTCATGTTTCAGTCCAAAGGGCTTGAGCCTCATCTCCAGGGGTAGGGTCCAAGGAGTTTCCTCCTCCCCCAAGTGCAAATCCCCCAGTGAAAGCATTCCCCAATCCATACCCTGGCCCCTGCCATAGTCTTGTTGCCCTTTGGAAAAGAGGAGGTCCACACTGGGGGTCTCTGAACCCAAGTTGTTGTGCACTATGGAAAGATTCCCTGCCTTCACTGAGCTTACATTCTATGTGTACATGTAACCCAATATAAAACAAATGTAAAAAAATATAAAGTAATTTCAGGAGAATATTAATAATGGGAAAATTAGGAAAATTTTCTTGAAGGAGGTAGAAGCCTTGAAGGCAGTTGGGGTTTCCATAATGAAGAAATGAGAGCATTCCTGGGGAAGGAGAACATGCCAGACATGGGAGCTAGCCTATAAAATAGCATGGGTGTGAGGGATGGAATGTCAGATACAAATAATAGTGAGCAGGTGAATTTGACTAGAGCAGAGTGTGTGGGGTAATGATGTGAAATAAGTCTCAAAAGGCAGACTGGAGTCCAATTGTAAAGGGCTTTACAGGTCAAAAAGAACTGTTTGTATTTAACTTGAAGTCAATAGAGAGACATTCAGGGGAGCAGAGAGGTGGCACGGCCAGACATGACTGATTGGTGGCTGTGTGGAGCATGGATTGTAGAGGGGAGGACAGTGAAAGCAATGGAACACATTAGGAGGTCATTGTGATAGTCGGGGTGGGGGTAGAGGCGATGAAGACCTAAATTAAAGTGGCTGTGGGAGGAGTGGAGAGAAGGCGATGGTTTCAGGAAATGTTATGGAAACAGAATCAACAAGACCTGGTGACTGACTGAATATGGAGATGAGATATTGGGGATGACTCTTAGGGAGAAAACCATGTCTACAGAACATAAAATGGGAAAGCTGGGGTTGACCTTAGAGATCATCCCCTCATTTTACAGGTGAGAAAACTAAGGCTTCAAAAAAAGTCAAGTGACTTGACTAAAGTGACAAAGCAAGTCAGCAGCACAGGTGGGATTAGAAGTGAACTAGTTCTAGTGAACTCTTAATCTTCTCTGAGGTTAGAGATTGGTAGAACTTGATGCTCAGAGTTAAGTATCACTCTCTCTAGAAGAAACAGGAACACAGAGAGCAGGTATCTGAGTGAGCCCTAGGTACATAGCACCTCCCATCTCCCCCACTTCTTATTCAAGGACCACTGAACATCAGAGACTGCCCTGTTGAAGGGGCTGGAGACTTAAACCTCCCAGAATCCTTAATGGCATCCAAACCTGTGGCCTGCTTACCTTTTTGGGATTCTTACTCTGGGTCCAGAAAAATGACTCCAGGATGCGGTTGGGAGTAGCCTTGATCCTGAGGGGGTCACGCACACCCATGGCTCTGCTTAAGGGCAGCCCTATGATCCTGTGAGAGGAGACAGGAGGAGCTGAGTACACAGGAACTCTCCCATTTATGGCCCTTTGGGAGCTCTCTGCCAAATCTTGCCCAAGTGACCTACCACAGCCAACTTGGCATACCCTGGGGGAGATGGAGCATGGGAGGAGGATATACGAAGAGGAAGAGGTGCCTGTGGGGCACATATTGGGTGCTTAGCCTGGGGAGAATGAGTATTCTATATTTTCCTTATGGGAGGAACTTCTGGGCTGTCAGAATATGGACAGGAATGTCCCTTTCAGTGGATCAGATGAGTTCCCCAAGGTGTCGGGGTTACAACCAAAGAGCAAGCATTCTCCTCTCTTAAATTCATCAAGTATTTGATAAACACCTATTATGCACCAAGCTGAGTGCCCAGTGCTAGGAGCAGAGAGAGACTTTAATTAAGACACTATTCTTGCCCTTAAGAAGTTTATGATCTGGTAGGGGAATAAGGTACCCACATAGATATTCACAGTACTATATATTAAGTGCTTCAAAACAATGAAAAGGAAAGGGTACCTTCTAAGGTGAAGGCCATTACCAATTAGGGAAAAGGGAGGGTAAGAAGTCAAGGAAGTCTTCCTGGAGAAGGTGGCCTTAGTTCTGGACTTCTGGCCATAGCTTGCCTCTGTGTCTTTTTCAACCCAATCACTGACATGGGGACAAGTGGAGAAATCTGGTGTTTAAAAACTAAGGAACTCTGATCCCAAGAGCTATTTGATAATCATTAAGTAAGCAAACATTGTCTGATTTATACCCAAGTCTTTGAATAGAGGAAAATTGTCATAGATAGAAAACTCACTCTAAGCTAGCATGAGGTTTCTGACATAAGGAACTGAGTCAGTTACCATAAGCTCTCTAAACAGAACACATGGTCTCGGCATTCAGTGCCAGGAAGGACCTTGTTAGTTTTTTTTTTCCTAAAGAATTTGGCCCATAGGGCTGAAAATTGCTGGGGAAATGAAAAGCTTCAGTAGGGAATAAAACAGGAGAGGTTTCTTCTGGTCCCAAAACAAGTATTCTGCATTTTCTGAAAGAGCTAGGTAAAAAAACATATTGGCAGAATGGTAGCTGAGGAAGCTAGTCAGAAGCTGGAAGGATTGCAAAGGGACTCTAGCCAACTAACAGCCCACAGTCCTGTGAGCACCAAGGGATCAAGGGACCAAAAGATAAGCATTTGACAGGGACTAGATCAGCATGGACCAGGCCTATTCAGTAGTTTATGAGACCTATGTCAAGGGGAGACAATATCTGCAACCCAGCAACACCAAAGATAAGAGTTGCCTTGCCACACAAATAACCTACATGTGTACAATCTTACAAGATTTAAGAGGAAAACACTTTGTAAACCTACTTTGAATGGTGTGATGTGAAAAAAATTTTTAGATTTGGAATTAGAGGACTTAGGTTGGAATTTCTGCTGTTACCCATTCTGTGACCCTGGGCAAGACACCTTACCTCTTTGAACCTCAGTTTTCTCTTCTGAAGAATAAGATAACTGGACTAAAAATAATGTGTATTGGTAATCCAAGGGAGATCTTGTTGAAACACAACAAGATGAAATGAGTGTAAGCAAAACTAAGCTCATGAACACATCATAAACTCAAAAGAAGGGCATAATTAATTAATGGCAAAGGAATAAATAGAAGAAAATGAAAACCTAACAAATACAATCTTAACTATGAAAAAGATCTTTCCATTAAATATCTTTGAAAAGAATCTTCAATGCAAGATGTATCAAAAACTAATGCAGTTATAGAAAACCAAAACAATTTGGCAATAAATAAGTCATCTAAGGATATGACAAACTGTTCCAGAAAGAATTTCAAACTGTCAATAGCCAAATAAAAGACTACTCCATGTCACGAATAATAAGAGAAATGCAGAGCAAAATAACTCAGATGTCTTGCTTCATACCCATCAAAATAGCAACATGACAAAAGATGGAAATTGTCAATGCTGGAGGGGCTGTGGGGAGACAGGCATAATACTACAATACTGATGAATCTCTGAATTGGTCCAAAAATTCTAGGAAGAAATTTGGATTAATGCTACAAAAATTACTAACTGTTGAAACCATTTGACTCAGATTTCTCATTGCTGGTATGTATAATGGGTGTCGGTGATATAAGGAAAGGTCTCACATATAATAAAATCTTAATAACAGCACATTTTGCAGTAGTAAACAAAAAAAACCAAAAAAAATCCTGGAAACATAGTAGGTTCCCATTGATTAGGAAATAGCTAAATAAATTGTGGTGCATGAATTTAATGAAATATTATTTGCTAAACAAAATGATGACCATGAGGAATTTAGAGAAACTTGAAAAAACTTTACTGACCTGATGCAGAGTGAAGTAAAATTCCTAAGAACAGAATGCACAATGACTATAATAATGTAAATGAACTTGAATGTTAATTAATTTAATGACAAATCTTGCCTCCCTTCTCCCTTGAAGACATGAAGAAATTAACTGGTCCCTGCTTTCCTTATAGATGTGGGGTCCTATGGATACAGGATACATTGTTAGATGTGATTGATGTATTGGTTGGTCTTGATTAACTTTTTTCTCTGTTACAAGTGTAAGTGTATACTGGGTGGATTGGGGAGAGGGGAAGACATATCCTGAAAGAACTGTAAAAATACATCAACAAAATTTTAACTTTTTTAAAAAAAGGATAAGGGGAAACCCTCCACAGTTGACTCACCTCTCAGCACCATATCTAATGACCATTAAGACAAATGTCAGAGGAATGGCTGCCAGCAGGTCTTTGGGATGAGGGTAAATGATGCCATCTGAATCTTCCAAATCAGCCCAAGTGTACCCAGAGGGGATCCAGTACTCAGTCTTCCAAAATGACTCGTACAGAGTAGCCAGCATCCTGAAAGCAAGACATCAAATGTCTCAAGAGGAATCAGCAGGGAAAAGTATATGTTGATTATTCAAGAAACTAGTTAACAAAGTCAGTGCACCCAGATCATCAATTTTAGAGACAGAGAATGTCATAACTATAAGAGACCTTAAGGAAGCCTAACCACTTCATCTTACAGATGGAGAAACTGAAGTGCCAAAACAGGAGACTTATCCAAAGTCACACAGTGAGTCAATGACAGAGCTGAGCCTAGAACTCAGGTTTTCTGATTCCGTATCCAGGGCTATTTCCACTGCATTTGCCACCCCAAAAGCCTTGGGAATTGGGGGGTTAGGGATGGGTGAGAAGCCATTGGCTAGGCAGTTCTCATCTAACATGCTGGCTGCTGCCTAAATCCTCCTTGGCATAAGAGACCCAGGTGTCCCAGTCTCTCTAGCACCTGCTGTTAACAGCTTAACTCAGGGCAAAACTGCTTCTGACATGACCATGGATTGTCAAGGTGGCAGAGGTTAGGAAAGGCAGCTTCCTAAGGAGGGAAAACAGATCCTAGAATCAAAGAACTGGCAGGGTCCATATACCCAGAATGCCAGAATTAAAAGACCCTCAGTGAATGTCAGAGCTAAGAGGGTCCTTAGAACAAAAAATAGAATGACAGAGCTAGGGGCAACTATTGATTTGAAGCAAGAAGAATGATCTCCCCATCATTGAAAGTAGTCAGGGAGAGACTGGGTGATGACCCCTGTTGGTGACAATGTAGGAGAGGATTCTTGCTTCAGGTGAGAGTTGTACTAGACCCTGTCCCAGGGCCTGTCCAGCTCTGTCACTCTAAGCTTCCTCTAGAGCTTCACTAGCCCCCTTCCCCCATGCCTCATCTTCGCCAAAGACCCCTCTGCAGGCTGCTAGTGAGGAGTTCTTGGGACATAGGCTCTGTGGCCTCACCTCCCTGAGTTCAGGGTGCCTCAAAGGTGCCTCCTTCCCCTGAATGTCCTTCTGCCCAGAAATGGCAGTGGCTGATGAGATCAAGGAAGGTTTTGTGACTGCCCACTGAAAGAACAGGTCATCATCCCATTTCCAGAGAAAGACCTCGACTCTCCTTACCCAAGGATGGTGTCCTTCCTCATATACCATGTCCCTTGTCTACCCTGGGCCAGAAGCATCAACCAAAATAGAATGTAAATTCTTTGTGGGGTCAGAGCTGGTTTGTTTTTTTCTCTTTGTTTAGTCCATATGCCACTAACTCCTAGCCCAGTACCTGGCATCTCATTCTCATTGATTGAGAATCTCAGACTTGAAAGGGGTCCCGAAGACCATTTAGTCTAATTGTGCATGAACAAGCAATCAATGAATAAGAATCCCCTCTCCAGCTGACCCAACAGGGGGCCTATGCCAGGTTTCCCGTTGAAGACCTCCAATGAATGGGAACCTATTACCTCTTGTGGGAGCCCATGCTACTTTTCCATACCTCTTTTTTAAAGAACATTTTCATCATGAAAACAATTCCAAAGATTAGGAAAAATGGAAGTTGTCTGAAGGAAACATTTATTAAGCACCTACTATATACTAGGTTCTATGCTAAGCAGTTGACAAATAACTCATTTGATCCTCTTGATAACCCTGCGAGGTAGGTGTTATTATTATCCCCATTTTACAGTTGAGGAAGCTGAGGCAGACAGAAATTAAGTGACTCACCCAGGGTCACACATCAGCTTTCTGAGGATTGATTTCAACTCAGGTCTTCCAGATTTCAGGCCCAGAGCTCTATCCACTTTGCTGTGTGGATGCACAAGGAACTCACTAAGCAGCTCAGATTTTTACAGAAGATGGAAGAGCAGATAACAAGAGATAAATGAATATAAGAGCAAGGCAGGATCCTGCATAAACAGCCTCATGAATGATTAAGTTCAAATGAGTGTAGGATAGGGAGGAAAGCTAAGGTCAGTAATATAGGGTTGTTGTTGTTTAAAGTAACATTGAGGAAAAGAGGAGAACCCCAAGAGGGACTGTATCTTTGTCTGGTCTGGTTGAGAACTGTGTGAGTAAAGAGAGGGGGGCAGATTCAAACTAGATTGTGAGTAAAGATTCAATAAGACCTGGAAAAGGATTGGACATGAGGTGTGAGAAAGACTGAGCAATTGATGATAACGCTAAAGTTTCAAACCTGGGTGACTGGAGGACAAGGGAGTGTTTTCACCTGTCTTGGTATCCCTGGTGCTCAGCCCTGGCCCACAGTAAAAGTTCAATAAATGCTTGTTGACTTGACTTATTGACTGGAAGGATGTCTATGCCTTCTATAGAAAAAAGCAGAGTTATCCTGGGGCTCTGATCTCTTTGGTGAATTCGGAAATCCACTCTCCTAGTACCTCCCATTTCCCTTCCCCCTTGACTTTTGACCTATTTTTGTTTCCCCAGAACTTAGCATGGCCTAGCACAAAATATTTAATATATGCTTGTTTAATATATGCTTGTTCACATCTAGGACATGTGCCAAATATTTCCATCTTTACCCTCTTCATCTCTAATGAACTTGAAGATGAAACTCCTCCTTGTTGACTAGAGAGCTCTCCAGCTGCACTTCCCCCATCTCTCCCATCTCCTGGTGTACCATCTGAGATGAAATTGTCCTCAAGCCTATCCAGGCACATATGCCACCTTCCCAGTTTTGAGGAGAATATGGTGCCAGTTGTGTAGTCTTGATTAAGAAGGCATCCAAGCAATCCCATTAATCAATACAACGTGGGCTGCCTAATGGGGCTAGAACATTAAGAGCATTCTGATAATTCCCTGGGACCCTGACCCATTGGAAAATAGAAGCTGGGCACAGCATGAGCAACCTAAGCAGGAATGAATGTCTGAGCACTGATGAACCCATCCCAGGAGAGGAGTCATATTCCATCAGTATTTGGTAGCTATATGGGCAGTCAGGGTGCAAACGCCTATTGTCCATGTCCTCCTGTAATATACAGGCTCCACCTACCTCCCTGATGTTCACTTCCCTGCAGATCCTAGGGTTTACAGATGGGAAGAGGATGATGAATTGTTCCACCTTCTCTGGACAGAGGTAATTTTCAGAGGTCTGGCTTGCAATGAATGGGAAGAAGTCAGACTATATCACTCTTTTCTAACCTAGAAACCTTTGTGGGCCAGCCCTGAAGTTGAATGTCCCAGTTCCAGCCCCTCTAGAGGCTGCCAGGGAACCTCCAGCCACAGATGGTTTTTCCCCTGCCCCTTCTTATAAGGGCATCTCATAGATTTTGATGGCTCAGAATGAGTGTAAATAGCAATTGTTTCCATTCTGGCCAGAAACTCTGAGGGTCTTCCCCTCCCAGATATATTCTTTTGGGAAGGCAAACTAGACCATCTTTTGCTTCAATTCTTACTCTAGCCTTTAATAACTGAGTGGGTGTTGCCTCAGACAAACTGAAACCTAGGAAAGACCTTAGCTTAAAAAGGCCAAGTTCTCCCACTGTACATGGGGCCATTGCCAGTCATCCTGACCTATGTCTTGCCACTGGAGAGAGTGAGGCTAATGACTCTGCACAGCTCTGCTTCATTTAAATCCAATTCACTTGCAAGTTAAGACATCACCTTCCTGATGTCATTGGTCCTCTTTGAGAATGAAGGATGAACAACAATCTCAAGAGCTCCATGAGGAGCTGAGAAAGGAAAGGAAGGGTTGGATGACTAAGCAAGAAAACATGGGGGAAGGAAACCTAGTAAGGTCTGAATTGGAACCCACTCACCAACTACCAAACAATGACAGACGAGAAGAAGGTCAGAGTTGAGAGGGCCCTTAAAACACACAATGTCAGAGCTGAGAGGGTCCTTATTACACAATGTCAGAGGTGGGAAGGCCCTTAGAACCCAGAATGTCAGAGCTGGAAGAGGACCTTTCTTTAGACTAGTCCAGACCTTTTGTTTTACAAATGGGAAAATTGAATCTTAGAGAGGAAAAGGAAAACCTGGGAAGACTTTTTTTCATTAGCAGCAAGTGCCTTATTCTGATCACTGTCACTGACTTCATGGTTCAATGAGCTATTAATGATGTATGAATTTCTGCATCCAGAAGTGAAAGTAAATGACAGATCAAGCTTGTTATTGTCATTACTTCTTCTTCTTATTTTTTATTCTTATTCAATAAGAAATCATTTTATAAATATTAACTCATTTTATCTTTATAAGAATCCTGGAAGGTAGGTGCTATCTTTATGTCTATTTTATAGATGAGGAAACTGAGGCAGAGAGTGACTTGCCTAGAGTCATACACCTAGTAAGTGTTTGAGGCAAATCTGAATTCAGGTCTTCCTGACTCTGGGCCGAGTGCTCTATCCACTGCACTATCAAGCTGTCATCAGCTAATAATGATCATTCTTTGTATTTAGCAATGCCACCAATTCTGAATTCACCTAACAGTACTCTTCTAGTCCACAGTTCTCCATCTTTTCCGCTGGCCTCTTTGACAAAGACACTCCATCTCCCACCTGTGGGCAAATGCACTGGCTATCCCCCATGCCTGGAATGCTCTCTTTCCTCATCTCAACCTCCTGGATTCCCCAGCTTCCTTCAAGTTCCAGTTAAAATACAACCTCTCATAAGAAATCTTTCCTAATACCCATTCATAGTAGAGCCTTCCTTCTACAATTACCTATCCTGTCTATACCATTCATACATAGTTGTTTGTATATTATTTCCCCACTAGACCATGAATTATTTTAGAGAAGGAACTTTTTTTAACTTTCTTTTTATTCTCAGGATTACCACATTGCCTAGCACATAGTAGCCTCTTACTAAATTCTTATTGACTTGACTTGAAAGACTTTATCAAGTGATTTACTAAAAATCTAGGTAAAATATCTCTGTAATAGTTGAGGAATGCTATTAAAAATGGAATGAAGGAAGGAAACAATCATTTATTAAGCACCTACCAGGTACTAAGCACTGTGCAATGTGCTTCACAACCATTATTGCATTTGATCCTCACAATGATAATAATATTATTATTATCCTCATTTTAGAGTTGAGGAAACTGAGGCAGACAGAGGTTAAGTTACTTGCCCAGAGTCACACAACTAGTAAGTATCTGAGGCCAGATTTGAACTCTGGTCTTCTTGATGTCAGGCTTAACACTCTATCCATTGTACCACCTTTGTGATCAGTGGTATCTTTTCCTAGCTATTCACCCTTTGTTTAATGATACATTCTGGATTTTGTCAGAAATTCAAGCCAAGCTGTTTTCATTTCCTTTGAGATGACAGCTAGGATATTTGCCCTACTCCAGTCCTGCCACGCTCCCATCCTTTCTTATGCCAGCTTTCAGCATCTCATCCCCCAGTTCTCTCAGCATCCTAAGTGAGGAACCCCTAGGCTGGGTGATCAATCCTCCAGCTGAGGTAGGTGCTCTCTTGCTGTCTCAGTTCAGATATCAGGGTTATCAAACAACTCCCTATCAGTAACCTTGGTTCTTAGCTTTTTAGGAAAGCTGCTTTTCTTTGGCAGAGAAAAAGAGAAGCAAAATCAATAAACATATCAACAAGTATTCATTTAAATGTATCAACAATTAAGTGCTTATGATGTGCCAGACTCTAAACATGACAATTCAAAGAAAGACAAAGAGAAAAACCCTGCCCTCAAAGACCTTGCATAAAAGGAAGGTCAGCTCAGAGGGAGGAAGGGAAAGGGACCGGGAAAGGCCTCCTATAGGAGGTCAGAATTGAGCTGTTTTGAAGGAAAACCAGAATTTTAAGTGGTAAAAATGAAAAAGGAGAACATCGAAGGCAGAGGGACAGGTACTGCAAAGGCACAGAGATGAGAGATGTCCTGAGTGTGAGATATAGCAAATAGCTAGTTAGTTTAGCTATACTGCGTGCATGGAGGGAGGTACTAAAGAGGAAAACAATTAGAAATTAGATTGTTAATCTTCAGTGTGAGCATTTATACCTTGAACATCCCCAGTTCTACAAATTTGGGTTTGATTGATTATTTTATTGATTTATGGATTTAAGAAAGTGATGAAGAAAATGTTAATGCAGATTAAACTTTAAAGTGTGTTGTGGGAACATTATTTTTTTTTCTACAGAGCTGATTGTTACATATTTACTATTTTATTTACTAACATATATTTACTATTTTATTTATTAACATATTTACTATGTTAAATATTAAAATATTTACTGTTTTATTCATTAACATATTTACTATGTTAAATATTAACTGGGAAAGGGACAGTTTCAAGTTTTAAAGAGCTTTTTTTTAAAAAAGTAGTGCTGCTGCTGGATCAAAGGTATGCAAGCTTTGTAGCCCTTTGGGCACAGTTCCAAATTGCTCTTCCAAATGGTTTCACAACTCCACCAACAGTGCATTAGTGTCCCAATTTTTCCATATCCTCTCCAACATTTATCATTTTTCTTTTCTGCCATATTATCCCATCTGATTGGTATGAGGTGGCACCTCAAAGTTGATTTAATTTGCATTTCTCTAATCAACAGTGATTTAGAGAATTTCCTTACTATTTATCATTTTAAGAAAAACTCCATTTATTCCTCTGCTTTCCAGTGTTTTTAATAGGAATGAACGTGGCATTTTGTCTAAAGCTTTTTCTACATCTATTGAGATAATCATATGACTTTTGTTGGTTTTGATATTGATATGATAATCATGCTGATAGTTTTCCTAATATTGAACAGCCCTGGGTTCCTCGTATAAATCCTACCTGATCACAATGTATGATCTTTGTGATATGTTGCTGTAATCTCCTTGCTAGTATTTTATTTAACATTTTTGCATCACTATTCATTAGGGAAATTTGCCTATAGTTTTCTTTCTGTTTTGGCTCTTTCTGGTTTAGGTATCAGCACCATATTTGTGTCATAAAAGGAATTGGGTAGAATATAATTTATCTTTTTTGTTTTTAATACTGGTAATTTGGTTTTCTTCTTTCTTTTTTAATCAAAGTAACCAATGGTTTATCTATTTTATCGGTGTTTTCATAAAATGTAATTTGTATTGCATTATAGTATAAAAGGATACATTTAATATTTCTGCTTTTCTGTATTTGAGTGTGGGGTTTTTAGATGTCATTATAGACAATTTTTGTGAAGATGCCATGTACATTTAAGAAAAAAGTATATTCTTTTCTAGTTTCATTGAACTTTCTTTAGAGGTCTGTAATATCTAATTTTTGTAAATTCTATTCATCTCCTTACCTTCTTCCTTATTTCATTTATGGTGAGATTTATTTATTTCTGAGAGAGGAATGTTGAAGTCTCCCTGTAGCTTAGTTGTACTCTATGTTTCCTCCTGTTACTCATTTAACTTTTCTTTTAAGAAGTTAGATTCTATGCCATTTAGTGTATATGTGCATAGTATTGATGTTACTTCATTGCCTGTGGTACCTTAACTAGCAAAATGTCATTTCCCTGCCTATCTCTTTTAATTAGTTTTTTTTTTGCTTTTGCATTGTCTGAGATTATGATTGTTTTTTATCTCGGCTGAAGCATAGAAGATTCTCCTCCATCCCTTTATTTTTACTCTGTGTGTCCTTCTCTCCTTCAAGTGTGTTTCTTGTAAACAACATATTGTTGGATTCTGGTTTCTAATGCATTCTGCTGTCCACTTCCATTTTATCCACTGAAACCTAGAACTGCATATAAGCAATGCAACAGGTCCCTGTATCCAGTACCAGCAAAGGGTCCCCTGTAATCTCTTTCTGACCAGATGTCCCAACACCTTTACCGTTTGTGGGCTGAGAGCTCCTAAAGCTGCTGCTGCTGTTGTGGATGCCTTCAAGGACAGCACTATTGTTGTCACATCGTTGGTTATGCTGTAGGCTGTATGTGACCCTGGTGTCACAGATCTCTACTGCTGATCTCCTAACTTTCCTTGGACTGGAAAAAAAAAGTCTCCCTGTGACCTTTTATTGGCTCTGCCAGTCTAGAATTCAATTTGAGGCATCAGTTAAATTGTTTAGACAAGAATGTGGGGAGAGTTCAGCTGAGTTGCTGCCTATACTCCACCATCTCGACTCTGCCTCTCTGGGAATTCATATTTCTTGCCTAGAGCCCTGAGGAACCTGAATTGCAGAACTAGAAGGGTCCAGTTCATACAACAAACAAAAATCCTTGTCCATCCATCATCTTCTTGAAGGGGAACCCATGACCTCCCAATGCAACCCAATCCACTTTGGCATAGCTCAAACTGTTGAAATGGTTTTCTGAAATCAAGCTAAGAATAGAGAGACAGGAATAAAGAAAGCAGTGGAGGAACTTGACTTTGAGAGTCAAGACCTTAGAGAATCAAGTTTGACTTTGGAGTCAAGACCTCATCAAATCAAAAGTTATAACTTAAAGGGGTGCCAGATTGTGGGCTATTGTCAACAAAGGTTGAGGGAGCTCAGATGAGAGCAGAGGAGCCATGGAAATCATGCAGGTAGGGTACTCTATGCCCTGGCTGACTGTATTACTATCCAATTCCCCTTCCTAAGGCAGGGTGGCAAAATCCAGAAAGTCAGAAGTAAAGTTAGAAAGGAAATTGGATAGTAATATGGTTAATCAGGGTATAGGGAGATGTGATAGGAATTAGGGTGACACACAAAGGAAGGAGTATTAGATGGGGAAGTAAGGTCACTTGGGAGCCATGTGAGCAGGGCAGAGAGGAAAGAAATATGAAGAGGGTAGTGGAGGAAACAATGAAGCCTTTCTTAGGAATGGAGCCCCAAGCTCAGCATTCACCTTTAATATTCACAAGAAGGCACAGGAGACTGGCCTTGGGGGCTAGCATAGGCTCTTCTCTCCAGGCCTCTTCAAGCCTGAGGACTATGTCCCACCCTATCCCAACCCATCCAGCACCAACAGTTCAGGCCATGGATGGTACCTATCCATGAGTACCAATCTGTCCAATTTCTCTTCTAATAGTACATTTTCCTGCCTTTCAGCTAAGCAAGGTGTGGAACTGAATTCTGGCTGAGGTCCAACTTGCTCCTCAACCCTCTACCTTCAAGAAGTAGGAAATACTTCAGAGATTTTGACCAGATTTCTTCTGGATTTAGGATTATCTCAGACCTGGGAGGAAACCTGGACCAGCCCCATGTTACTAGAAGTAGATGTGTGAAAGATACAAAAGTGGACATGAAACAGGGATTAAATGTGTTACCTGAGGGTAATAGAACTTTTGGGGAACTAGGTGTGACCCAAGAATGACAGATATGTGTGACACAAGTGTATATACATATATTTGACATGGGTAGATATTTATGAGGTAGGTGCCTGACGTTTGGGGGTGTGTGTGTATAAAATGGGGGTATCACAGAGACCTGTGTCATGGTGGGGGGAGGCAGGGTCACTTGGGAACTACAAGAAGAGGATAGAGAGAAAGGGCCAAAGTAGAAGGTAGGAAGGAGGTGTGTGTGTGTGTGTGTGTGTGTGTGTGTGTACGTTTGAGGAAGCCTCCTTTGAGGTTTGGAAGAAGCATGTGGTAAATAAATTAATCAGTAAGCATTTTTTTTAAGCCCAACTCCACGTCATTCACTGTTCAAAGTACTCAGGATGCAGAGTCAAAAGTAAAATACTCCCTGCCCCTCAGAATTTTCACTGTACTGGTGGAGATACTACACATATAACTATATACCAGAAAGATACGAGAAAATGGAGGAAGGAGAGGGACTGGCACTGTGGGGGGTGGGGGAGGAGGAGAAAATATCTCAGTCAGGAATTACTGTTTGATAAGATCCTTAAAGGAAACCAAAGATATAAGAGAAACTGAGGAGGAAGTGTGCTCCAGGCATGGACATATCACAGGCAGGACAGACCTGTAGGATCCCCAGAGCCCCTCTGGTTGGGCAGGCGGGGCAGGCTATACCCTGGGGAAAGGGGCTGGGCGCAAAGACCACCAGCCGTGTGGTTGTGAGTTGGGGCAACCCCTAAGAATGGGGGTTGGTTATCTGGCAGGACAAAGGATAAAGGGGGTGGGGAGGAAGCGCTTACCTGCTGCTGAAGCGCAGAAAGATGCAAAACGGTTGGGACCGACACTCCCCTCCTCTCGAGCAGCCTTGGCTCAGCTGGCACGGTTGGTTCTGTGTCCCTTCTCAGGTGGAGGGCAAAGGGGTGAGGAGGCTACCCTTAGGGAAGGGTCTCTAGGGGAACTGCAGGGGCCATGGAGGGTGGAGGGTAGAGAAGAACTGGGAGTGAGGTGGAGCCCGAGCCTAGGGAGCTGGGCAGTCGGGACAAAGGGAGCTTGGTGATGAGAACGGGAAAGGACCTGGGGCGGGTTCTAGAGGGGGTGTGGTTTTGGAGGGAGGCGGGTGGCTCCCTGGCCAGAGTCTGGGGGAAGAAAGAGGTGTCCGCGGGGTGATGCCCGGGGAGGGGGGCAGAATGGGGTGGTGGTAGAAGGAAAGTGAGGAGACGGGTCGAGGTGCGGGAAAAGGAATTAGTGGAACCCGACAGGTTCAGAGGAGGCATCAGAAATCCCTGAACCTTCACCCTCTCTGACTTGGCCTCAGGGAGTCCTCCAGCCCAATACTGAAAAGATGGGTTGGACTGACCTTTCCACCTACCGCCTCTGGGCTTCCAGGGACTTAGTCAATCTCCAACCCAGCACCCACTCCTACATGCAAGCTCACCTCTACTCATCCCTCTCCCCACAGGATCACCACTCTGCCTGCACTGTAGTCCCACTCAAGAAATAGGGGTACCTTCTCCCTTCAGTCACATCTGGTGCTCCCAGGCTCATGACACCACCCCCTGCAGACACTGGACAAAAGGACACATAGCCCCTTCCTATCTTTCCAGTATTCAAACACTTTACACTTCCTACAGTGAGAGACATTCCCTCTCCATATTCTCTTATGATCCAGCTGCACTGGCCTTCTTGCTGCTCCTAGCACATGACATGCCATCTTTTGACTTCATGCCTTTTCTCTGGCTGTCCCTTACGCCTGCACTGCCTTCCTCATCTTACTTCAAGTCTTGACTTCCTTCAGGACTCAGCTCCAATCTCCCACCTGCAGGAGGCCTTTCCCTGTCCCACCCCTCTTCTTCTCTTCCCCCTTTACCTCCACCCCTTCCCTCTGAATTACCTCCCACTTCCACTTGTATATCCCCTCTTAGAATGGGAGTTCCTTGAGCTCAGGGCTGTTTTTATCTTTCTTTATATACGCAAAGCTTAGAATAGTGTCTGCTAAGTAAGTGCTTAATAAATGTTAACTCACTCCTACTGGTGCACAGTCCACCCAAGACACAGACAGATGCATGGCTTGCAAGGAACACTCCCACCCACTAACAGCTTCCCACAGGTTTAGGGGTTCCCCACCACAAGACACTAGTGCCCTCTCAGACTCAGCTGCCCCAACACCAAGTACCACCTTAGAGTATTCAGACACAGACTGTCCTCCTTCCTCAATTTTCTCCCCTTCTTTCCAGTCCCAGCTAAATTCCCACCTCTTTCAGGAAGCTTTTCCTAGTCCTCCCTAATGCTAGTGCCTTCCCTCTGTTGATTGTCTCCAATTTATCCTGTTTATAACTTATTTGAACATAGTTGTTTGCATTTTATCTTCCCATTAAATTATGAGCTCTTCAGAGCAGTAGCTATTTTCTCTTTTTTACCTTTCTTTGTCATCCTCAGTGATTAGCACAGTGCCTAGCACACAGTAGGCAGTTAATAAATGTTTATTGACTGACTTCTTCATGCCTCCTAAAGCAGGAGGATTAGGGGAGTGTATGTAGAAATTGTTTTTCTCAGGCACAAAGCCCCAGGGACAAGAGCTTTCCTGGCTCAGACCTGGTCCCTCCTATCCTTTCCTTTCTGTAAGAATGATCAGTTGTTCACATGTATTTGGTAACTTACCCGCTCTGCCCAGTGTGGACTCAATGAACAGAACCTGTGAGAAGAGGAAGACTTCCCTTCCCTTCCTCCCTTTCTTTTACCTGAGAATTAGGCCTGGAATGTGTGTATGTGTGTGTGTGTGTGTGGTCTGTGTGTGTGTTTGTGTGTGTGTGTGTTTGTGTGTGTGTGTGTTGTTTCTGTTTCATCTTGTTTGTCCTCGGTTTCAGGTATAGGAGGTGATTCTCATGGGACAGAGAGTTCAAGCCATGGCTTGAATCTTGGAGCCAGGATGGAGGTAAGGAGATAAATCAAGGCAACATGGAATGAAGGCTTTGTGAAACCAGGGTGCCTGGGACACAAGCCCCCCCAGGCGGTGGGGTTGGAACTAAGACTGTGCCCCAGAGGACCTGAGCCAAGCTGTGAATATGATCCTGTCCTTTCCCCACAGACTGAGGTGGTGTAGGGGTGAGGGGACAGGGGATGGAGGGAAAAGGATGGTGGGAGAAGGATTATGTTTCTCACATTTATGGGGAATAAGTTGGTATATTTGTGATTATATCTTGAATGCATATTTCTGTATAGAAGCTAATCTTACTGTCAGTGGTTAATGGAACTAATGATCACTCTCTGTAATTGGGAGGAAAACCATCATTGATGGGATCTGGAGCCATTTTCAGAGAGCCTAGATAAATCCCCTGTAAGGGTACAAGAGAACCCTGGGGGAGGAGTGAAAAAAATAACTTATCTAGCCTTCAGATGGTACGGGTCAGGGTTGTCTCTGTTACATATATAAATCATCTTTGTGGAGTTGGAGATATTAGAACTGGGAGGAGCCTTAGAACACAGAATGTCAGAGGTAGGACACCATAGTCACTATGAATGCATATGATCTCATCTGCTGTATCCCATTTCTTGTATAACAGAGAAGAAAACCAACTCCCTGAGAAGGGTGGGGCCTAAACCCAAGGTCACACAATAAATCCCTATACCCCCAGCCCTTTTTTTTTCTACTTCTAGCCCATGGCTCTTTTCAATGACATTACACTGAGAAGTAGTACATGAGTTTCCTCTCTGATATGACAGGTTAATTGTTGGATATGAGATTTTAAAATAATATATGATTAATTAAAAAGATGTTGTTTAATTTTCAGAAAGTGTTCTCTTCCTCCTCAGATTTCCCTGGAGTACTTTTCCTTTTCTCCATGTCTCCATCCTCTCCGTTTATCAATGGACAAGTTGCATCTACTCCCACCCTTGCCCCTTGAGGACATGGATGGTATCATTTTTTTTTTATTCCCCAAGCCTGGCAGCCCCACATGCAAGTTAGACAAATTTTTTTTTCTGAGAGGTTGTAAGGCTGTTTATGGGACTTGACTGACCCAGAGTGACAAGGGTCAAGCTGTGCTTCAATGAATGTAGCTTCCTGGTGACCTCTGGCCCTATTTACATGACTTCCTGATCATCCAAGATCATAAAAAGGCCCATCTAGGTGGAAATATCTCAAGGCTGTGCCAGTCACCAAAGCTTGCCTGCTGACCAAATCCATTTCCATATGGAAGTAAGAGGAGCCATGTTTCCTCAAGCCAGTTGCTGGAGTATGTTTGGTAATATCCTTGGTATGGAATGGCTAAATAAACCTCCTTTACTTAATTGTAGAAAGACCTGTAAGTGGCTAATTTCATTCCAACATCAAACCTAAATTAATAGGGTATTGGCTTGAGTCAGTCCTATCCACAAGAGCTTCCACTGCCCTGTCCTTTGTGCTATATTTCTGTGAGTATTCATTACAAAGTTAACCACAGAGCACAGAGAGAGTGCCCTTTAAAAAAATCTCAGACCTAAGATAAGAACTAGAAGTGACTTCTAGATTATCTAATCTAATCCTTTCATTCTGTAGATGAAAAAAATTGAGGCCCACCCAATGAGGTTAACTGACTTGCTCAAGATTACACAATGGTAGCACTGGGTTCATTGAACCTACATCCTCTGAACCCAGTATCCAATTTGCTTTCCATTGGATTGAATCATGTTCCCAGCCTTTTATAAGGACATAGGATTACCTGTAATTGATCAACTGACAAAATTTATATCCTCTGTTACAAAGGCTTGTATCTTTATCTCTTCCTTTCTTAGGCTTTACCCTCTTGGGATGGTTTTCTGGATACTGTTTGTCTTCTGAGGGAGTTCTAGAGCTCCTTTTGCCATCATCTCTGGAAGTGAAGAGCTCAAGCAGAGTAAGGCACATCTGGGAAAGCTGCACAGGGAATAAGGCCAAGTATTTTCACTTGATTACCCTGATTTTTTCCTCTCCCAACTCTGAATCTTTCTAAAGTTACCATAGACAATGAAGTAATATCAATACTAAACATATGTGTACCTAATGATATAGCATCCACATCTTAAAAGAAGTTGAATGAGTTATAGAAAAAAAAACAGACAGCAAAACTACATTGGCAGGAACCTCAACTTTCCCTTCCCAGAACTAAATAAATCTAACTAAATAATAAACAAGAAAGAAGTTAAGGAGGTGAAAGAACTTTAGAAAAGTGAGATATAATAAACCTCTGAAGAAAATTGAAAGGGGATAGAATGGAATATATCTTTTACTCAGTGGTACATGGCACCTTTACAAAAATTGACCATGTATTAGGGCATAAAAATTTCACAATCAAATGCATAAAAGTAGAAATATTAAATGAATTCTTTTCAGATCCAGATGCAATAAAAATGACATTCAATAAAAGGCAGAGGAAAGATAGATTAAAAATTCATTGGAAATTAAATAATCTAAGCCTAAGGAATCAGTAGGTCAAAGAACAAATCATAGAAACAATCAATAATTTTATTGAAGAGAATGACAATAATGAGACAACATGCCAAAATTAATGGGATGCAGCCAAAACAGTACTTAGGGGAAAATGTATATCTCTAAATGCTTACATCTATAAAATAGAGAAAGAGCAGATCAATAAATTAGGTATGCAGATAAAAAAAAGCTAGAAAAAGAACAAATTAAAAATCCTTATTAAGCATCAAATTGGAAATCCTGAAAATCAAAGGAGAGATTAAGAAAATTGAAATAAGAAACCTATTGAATTAATAAGTAAAACTACAAGCTGGTTTTATTGAAAATAAAGCACACAAACCATTGGTTAATTTGATTAAAAAATAAGAAAAGAAGAAAACCAAATTGTCAGTATCAAACATGAAAAGGGTGAATTAACATTAATGAACATGAAACTAAAGCAATTATTAGGAACAATTTTACTTAATTTTATGCCAATAAATGAGACAATCTAAAGAAATGGACAAATATTTACAAAAATATTTAATTCCCCACATTAACAGACAAGGAAACAGAATACTTAAATAACCCTATTGTAGCTTGTTTTTCTTAGCTTTTAGGTAATTGGGGTTAAGTGACTTGCTCAGGGTCACATAGCTAGTAAGTATCAAGTGTTTGATCTGAGGTCAGATTTGAACTCAGGTTCTCCTGACTTCAGGGCCAGTGCTCTATCCACTGCACCACCTAGCTGCACTTTAACCCTATCTTAGAAAAAGAAATTAAACAGGACATCAATGAGCTCCCTAAGAAAAAAT